TTGAGCGCGACTAAGACCCATATTTGTTTCAAAAACACAATTTATGACCATCCTCTCAACTGTAGACATGTAGATTGTAAAGGAAATATGTTTTACATCAGCCAATAATTGCTGAGAGGTTTTCTCATCCTCCCTTCTCTCATGACAACACGCGCACGAGTCCTATCACGAAGTAAAAAGAGAAGTTCATTGTGCGTCTTTAGTAACGCGCAGTAACGGGATGTCGGAAATGATAACGGCGTTATAGTTACAGTCAAAGTAATTAGTTAGATTACTCGTTACTGAAAAAAGTAACGGCGTTAGTAACACACAGAAGAAAATGTCCATGTTGTAGAATGCTAAAGTGTCCTAGTGTAAATATCACCATTGGTTTACATGTAAAAATGTTACGCGCGTCTGCTGTGCGTATGACGTGTACGTGCTGTAACGCCTCCTGTGTAAATTAGCAGTTACACCAATGGTTGCTTGCTAGCAAAAATTTCCCAGCTTTCCAAAAATACAACAAGTTGATTATAAATTACGGTAATCACATTGTCATGTTATGGTATTGTAACGTTTTTTTGTAATCACATACATTTTTTTATAATAAAACGCCACTGGATGTTTTTTAACCAATTTATACTTAAATTTCCATGTTTGAATTGTTTTTCAAAATAACATTTGTTTAATGTTGAAATTTCATTGTAATTTTACATAAATTTGTTAAAGTGTGGCCGACAACGACTTGTCAATCAAATCAGGTTCAGCAGGACATCAAAGGACAAGGCCAGGAAGTAGAAACTGTTACTCTTTTAAACTAAAACCATATTTGCACAAGCCCTACTTTAACGGTAAACACATTTTCTTTTTTAAAGTGACATAATGTATTACATTTGGATCTTTCCGCAGCAAAAGTAACTTTTCGCCTCATGCTGAATTCACGAATCAGTCTGAAGTTCTAAAGAGAGTATAATATTACCTCAGGGAAAAACACGTTAGATCGACATGTGTGTTTTAGTAGAAACTTTCATTATCTATATATGACATATATGTAACATTTATGTAACATTTCTTTCTTTCCAAATTAGAAAAATGCTTCCTTTCTAAACTGTACCAGCAGTTTAGGCCAGTGTCCTCTAAAAGCTCTCATTAATAAACTTTTCTCTGGTTAATGCCCAGAGGTTCTCGACTGGAGAAGTTTCAGTGATTGCAGATTCTCTGACGACAGCTCATACTCGCTCCTGGTTTTACAACCGGCTACAGTCATGAAATATACAGTAAATTAAAATAACTGCAGACATGTGACCAGCAGGACCCTGAGGTTAAAGCTGCAGATTTATTATTAAAACTAAACAGGTCCTTTTCAGGTCAAGCAGATTCTGTTTCAGGAGAGAAATAAAAACACTTTAAATCTGACTGTTTCAGATGTTATTATCACTGAATTCTTAGTCTGAAACCCTCACATCAAAGAAAGACAGGGGTGCTCAATACGTCGATCGCGATCTACCAGTGGATCACAAAGGTAGTATTGGTAGATCGCATTACATTCAAAAAATTATCCGTTTATGCATTTGCATGTAGAAAGAGATAACAGGAGTTTTGCGTTTTCGCACGCCACAGTATACCCCCAAAACAACAACAAACAAAACGTGCGAACTCTGATCACTGACTTACTGCCTTAAAAACTGTTTGCAGCAGCGCACATCCTCCACATCAGAGAGCAGCAAAGTGGTCACAGGGACTCACGCTCGAAAACAACCAAAACAGGAGCTAAACCAGGATCAAACCAGGGCTGAGAATGGGGGTCAGTGCTTATGTCTTCACCATGGATCTATAATAATATGTCTTCACCCAGACTTCAGACACAACACGGACGGTTGTGTCCTACAGAAGTTCTCTGACGACTCTGCCATCATCGGACTCAGCTCCGAGGACGATGATACAGAGTACAGAGGAGTTATACAGGACTTTGTAGGCTGGTGTCAGCGGAACCACCTCCTCATTAACGCGGGGAAGACCAAGGAGATGGTGGTGGATTTCCGCAGACGTCACTCTGCCGCTCCAGCCCCAGTGAATAGCCAGGGAAAGGACATTGAGAGAGTGGACTCTTACAAGTAACTGAGTGTTCATTTGAATCACAAACTCATAACACAGACGCCCTCTTCAAGAAGGGCCAGAGCCTGCTGAGGAGGCTCAGGTCTTTTGGAGTGCAGGGGCCACTCCTGAAGACCTTCTATGACTCTGTGGTGGCATCAGCCATCTTGTACGGTGTGGTCTGCTGGAGCAGCAGCATCACAGAGAGGGACAGGAAGAAGCTGGACAAGGTCATCAGGAAGTCCAGCTCAGTCCTGGGCTGTTCCCTGGATACAGTGCAGCAGGTGGGGGACAGGGGGGTCCTGAGCAAACTAACATCTATGCTGGACCATGACTGTCACCCCCTGCAGGACACTCTCTCTCTGCTCTGCAGCTTCAGTGACAGACTAATTCACCCTCGCTGTGTGAAGAAGAGGTTCCGTAGGTCTTTCCTTCCTGCTGCTGCCAGACTGTACAACGAACAAGTGTCACTGCTAATTCACTAGTAAACGCAGCTGTGGATGCAAATTATTTCATAAATCATGCGGTTTTGCATGTACATCAACATACATTGTAGATATAAAGAATCCTCAATATATTTAGAAATAAATACATGTTTTGCATTTTTGTAGTAGGTAGATCATTTAGACTTTATCATTTTATAAGTAGCTCGCATGCTGAAAAAGTGTGAGCACCCCTGAAGTAAGACATCCTTATCCTTTGCTGTTTTATCGTCATTCGTAGAGAAAGGAGCAGATTTATGTTTGTCTGACGTTTTACAGCAGTCGGAGGTCAGAGGTTGAAGTATTTCAGTTTAAGGTCTTTGGTAAGAGGACAAGACCAACACAACAATCTGACCGCTCCCCACCGAGAGGACCACTTCATCCTAATATTAATAGAATAAAAAGACCTAGATCTAAGACACTTTGAGGCACAAACAATCATGACATGTGTTTTATTTACTGAATTATTTGGATTGAAACACTTTGATCCTTGTCAAAGAGAATGATTCACAAACTTAGAGGTAAAAGTTCTGGCAGCACAAGCTTTGGGCTTTGGAGTAAAATACATGCAAACTACTTCTAAAGATGTTTTTAAAAACAGCTTCAGATGCTTCACATGGACATATTCACTACTTACAAAATAAACTTATATTGTAGAAGAAGTGAAGCAAACACCTCCATCACCTCTGGTCAGTCACAAACACCTTTGCGGTCACACCAGCCGCAGCCGCCCCACTGTGGCACGTGTTGTTCCCAGAGGTTTCCCTTCACAGCACTAAACAGGCCCTGTCCTGCTTAGCTTCAAAGGTCTGTGGGGATCAGGCTTTCATTGGTAGCACCACAAATGTCTAAATTGTATTTGTTGGATGCAAAAACAGTTAATGTCAATAATAAGTCTGTTGTTGTAATTTTTTTCCAACGATACTTTTTCTACATAATCTTTTTATAATACAGGTTTTATAATTGAAGATTTTATATTTAAAGGTTTTATTTTTAAAGGTTTTATAATTAAAGGTGTCTCTACACATCATTTAGTGTCTTTATCTTTTATCCAAAGTGACACATGGAGTCACTAAACTTTCTTTTGTGGAATTCCCAGTGGTTTTTAGGATCTCAAAGTCATCATAGTTTAAACTCCATCTTTGTCAGAGAGCATTTCTCAGAACACACTGTGCTTTTTGGAACAAAGTCATAACAATAATAATAATAAAAATTATAATAATGATTAGTTTAAACCCAAAGTAAGTTTGACCCAGAAGTTTCTCAGCGTCTGGAGTAGTGGTCGCCGTAGCAACAGAACCATCTGCAGATGTTGAAGCTCTGGGTCACAGCTGGAGGATTTACCTACTGTGCATGTTTTTAGTGGTAGGGGAAACTGGATCACCTGGAGGAAACCTACTAAGGCACAAGGAGAACATGCAAACTGAGAAATGTTTTTAAATCTATTGATAAAAAACATCCTCTTTGGGGTCTTTACCACAATCAGCTCACATTCTTTCAGACTCACCTCATTCTTCACTTCACTATCAGCCACTTCCTGTCTCTGACGTTCATAAAGACGGTGATGATGATGAAGAAGATGATGATAGGGATGATGAAGTTGATGATCCGGTGGATGTTTTTTACTCTTGAAGTTGAGTTTGCCCATTAACACTTTCAAACAGAAACAAATGACGTCCAGTGGAAACAGTTATTGTCTAATAGATTCTTCTTTTCTGCAGCTTTAAAAGTTTATTTAAAAGTGATTTTACTGTAACAGCCTCAGGATGTTCAGAGGAACTCCCTCCACACGGCTCTGTCAGATTTGAAACTGAAACTGAAACTAAATTGTCCTTTCTGACGTGTCTGAAACATCTTTTACTGTTTCAGAGATTGTGTGTTCTCTAAAGTATTCCATGACATTTGACATTAGACATGTGAGATCACAAAGGGTCTGGGTCCCACTTGCTCAGCTGCACTTGACCAGACGATGTGGAAGGTGGTAAATGAAGGTTCATGTTTAATACTGTCTCCATGGCAACAGCAGGAGATTGAAAAGCTGCATTTGTACAGTTTCTCAGACTGTTTAGTCCGTGAAGCACATGGGTTAAGGTTAGAGAAACAGAATGAGATGTGCAAATACAATGACATGTCCTGGTTCTTCATGCAGCACCTTTAACAATAGTTTATTAAAAAGATATGACCCGGGAAGGGATCAAGTGGAAGAACATCAATGGATGTGGTTGGACAGTGCTTCTGTGGGAACACTGGGGAAGTACCTAAGCTCTATCCCTAAACTCTAACTCAAACATTAAACCCTAAACTCTAACCCTAAACTCTAACTCTAACCTAAACTCCAAACTGGATCTGATGGAAGTAGTTACATTTATTTTGGTGCACGACTCTCTTCTTTGATAATCCGCATGTTCCGTGTCGCTCCAAACGTCCCATAATGCATCATGAAGTATGAGATTCCCGTCATTAGTCTCGCGCTGTCACCGCCTCCTGACCGTGTTTATCTTTGACGGGCGCCGGAGTGACGGCTACGGCTGCAGCGGCGGCGGCAAAACGGTGAAACTAATGGATTTGTCTCAGAGCGAACGCAGCCTCGGAGGAGATGAAACACAAGAGTTTAAAATGCTCTTCTCCTTCATCTTCATTTGGCCTCAAAAGTATCACCTCATCTTCATCGCGAAGCACATCCATCATGGCCGACAGCCGTAATCCTCGCTCTACGTCTTGCTCTACGCCTTGCTCTACGCCGCTGTAAATGAGGAAGGGCCTTATTCAGGTTTTTCTCACAGTTTTATGGATATCCAATGTCATGTCTCTTTTGTTTTTATGAACTGGCTTTTATTAAACCTTTAATGAAGACAAAGATGGGAAACGTAGAATGTAAATAAAACCTAAGCGTGCAATCTGTCAAAAGTCAGCTACACAAACATGTTGGATAAAGCTCCAAATGTTTTTATCTTTTGGGAATATTCAGTCATTTAAGGCTCAGGTACCTAAAGTTAAACCACAAATCCATCTAACATGTGTTCTTACATGTACACACATGTGTTCAACATGTACACACTTGTTCTTAAATGTACATACATGTGTGTACATGTGAGAACACATGTATGTACATGCAAGAACACATGTATGTACATGCAAGAACACATGTATGTACATGTAAGAACACATGTATGTACAGTACATGTAGGAACACATGTATTCTTACATGTACATACATGTGTTCATACATGTACACACATGTGTTCTTACACATGTGTTCTTACTGTTCTTACACATGTGTTCTTACATGTACATACAGTACATGTGTTGTTACATGTACACACATGTGTTCTTACATGTACATACATGTGTTCTTACATGTGCACACATGTGTTCCTAAATGTACACACTTGTGTTCTTACATGTACATACATGTGTTCTTACATGTACACACATGTGTTCCTAAATGTGCACACATGTGTTCTTACATGTACACACATGTGTTTCTATATGTGCACACATGTGTTCTTACATGTACACACATGTGTTCCTAAATGTACAAACATGTGTTCTTACATGTACATACATGTGTTCTTGCATGTACATACATGTGTTCTTGCATGTACATACATACATCTTACACGTACACGCTGTAGAATGTACATATAACCCAGGCGTGTAATCTGTCAAAACTCAGCTACACAAACATGTTGGATAAAGCTCCGAATGTGTTTTTCTTTTGGGAATATTCAGTCATTTAAAGCTCAGGTACCTAAAGTTAGACCACAAATCCATCTAACATGTGTTCTTACATGTACACATATGTGTTCATACATGTACACATATGTGTTCATACATGTACATACATGTTCTTACATGTACACACGTGTTCATACATGTACACACGTGTTATACATGTACACACTTGTTCTCACATGTGTGTGTCTCTCATGTACATACATGTGTTCTTACATGTACATACATTTGTTTGTACATGTACACACATGTGTTCTTACATGTACATACATGTGGAGTGGATAGCGTTCTCGCCTCTCAGCAAGAAGGTCCTGGGTTTGAATGTTCTTCAAATGTTTGCATGTTCTCCCCGCGTCTGCGTAGGTTTTCTCCGGGTACCCAAGTTTCCCCTACCACTAAAAATATGTACAATAGGTCTGGCATGCGCCTCTGGTTCAGCGACCCTGCTCCCATCTTTGTCTGGAGTGAGACACAAATGCCCAAAAAAAATTACTATTGTAAACTACTGTTTGGATTTTAAAAAAGACATGAAGATGATCTCCCCCCTGGACTGCCACCTTAACGTGGTGGGGGAGTTTGAGTACTCGGATGATCCTGGGAGCTATGCTGTCTGGGGCTTCATGCCCCTGGTAGGGCCTCCCATGGCAGACAGGTCTCGGGTGACGAGTCAGACAAAGAGCAGTCCAGAAGACACCATGGACAGCACTCAAAAGAAATCAGTGACGTCGCCCGGCATGGCGCAGCCGGGGCCCCACCCTGGAGCCAGGCCTGGGGTCGGGGCTCGTAGGCGAGCGCCTGGTGGCCGGGCCTTAGCCCACGGGGCCCGGCCGGGCTCAGCCCGAATGGACGACGTGGGCAGTCCCTCCTGTGGGCCCACCACCCGCAGAGGGGTCCGTGGTGGCGAAACGGTGCAGAGAGGACTGGGCAGCAGTCGAAGGCGGAGACCTCGACGTGGAACGTCACCTCACTGGGGGGGAAGGAGCCCGAGCTCGTGGGGGAGGTTGAGCGATACCGACTAGAGATAGTCGGCCTCACCTCCACACACAGCTTGGGCTCTGGAACCCAACTCCTTGAGAGGGGTTGGACGCTCCACTTTTCTGGTGTTTCCCGCGGGGAGAGGCGGCGAGCTGGGGTGGCCATTCTCATTGCCCCCCATCTCAGCCGCCACGTGTTGGAGTTCTCCCCGGTGAATGAGAGGGTCGCGTCCCTCCGCCTCCGGGTGGGGGATAAGTCTCTCACTGTTGTGACGGCCTACGGGCCTAACAGCAGTGCAGAGTACCCGGCCTTCTTGGAGTCCTTGGGAGGGGTACTGGACGGTGCACCGCCCGGGGACTCCGTTATTCTCCTGGGGGACTTCAACGCCCATGTGGGAAACGCCAGTGACACTTGGAGAGGGGTGATCGGGAAGAGCGGCCCCCCTGATCTGAACCCGAGCGGTGTTCAGTTGTTAGACTTCTGTGCCAGTCACAGTTTGTCCATCACGAACACCATGTTCGAGCACAAGGGTGTCCACCAGTGCACGTGGCACCAGGACACCCTAGGCCGGAGGTCGATGATCGACTTTGTTGTCGTATCATCTGACCTTCGACCGCGTGTCTCGGACACTCGGGTAAAGAGAGGGGCGGAGCTGTCAACCGATCATCACCTGGTCGTGAGTTGGATCCGCTGGCAGGGGAAGAAGCCGGTCAGACCTGGCAGACCCAAGCGTATAGTGAGGGTCTGCTGGGAACGTCTCGCTGAGCCCCCTGTCAGACGGACTTTCAACTCACACCTCCGGGAGAGTTTCTCCCAGGTCCCGGTGGAGGAGGGGGACATGGAGTCCGAGTGGACCATGTTCTCTGCCTCAATCGCCGATGCGGCGGCTCATAGCTGTGGTCGCAAGGTCTCTGGTGCTGGTCCCGGCGGCAACCCCCGAACCCGGTGGTGGACACCGGCAGTAAGGGATGCTGTCAGGCTGAAGAAGGAGTCCTATCGAGCCATGATGGTTCGGGGGACTCCTGAGGCAGCTGTCCAGTACCGGCAGGCCAAGCGTGCCGCGGCCCGGGCTGTTGCAGAGGCAAAAACCCGGGACTGGGAGGAGTTCGGAGAGTCCATGGAGCATGACTATCGGTCGGCCTCAAAGAAATTCTGGCAAACCGTCCGGCGCCTCAGGAGGGGGAAGCAGTTCTTTGCCAACACCATGTACGGTGCGGGTGGAGAGCTGCTGACCTCGACTGGGGATATTGTCGGGCGGTGGAAGGAATACTTTGAGGTTCTCCTCAATCCCCCCGTCACGTCCTCTGTTTCAGAGGCAGAGGCTGAGGATGTTGGGGCGGATACATCCATCTCCCTGGCTGAGGTCACCAAGGTGGTTGGTAGCCTCCATGGTGGCAAGGCTCCGGGTGTGGATGAGATCCGCCCTGATTATCTAAAGTCTCTGGATGTTGTAGGACTGTCTTGGCTGACACGTCTCTGCAACATCGCGTGGCGATCGGGGGCGGTGCCAATGGAGTGGCAGACCGGGGTGGTGGTCCCTCTCTACAAGAAGGGGGACCGGAGGGTGTGTTCCAATTATCGTGGGATCACACTCCTCAGCCTCCCCGGTAAGGTCTACTCCAAGGTACTGGAGAGGAGGCTACGGCCGATGGTCGAATCTCGGATCCAGGAGGAGCAGTGTGGTTTTCGTCCCGGTCGGGAACACTGGACCAGCTCTATACTCTCCATCGGATACTCGAGGGTTCATGGGAGTTCGCCCAACCTGTCCACATGTGCTTTGTGGATTTGGAGAAGGCGTTCGACTGTGTTCCCCGGGGTGTCCTTTGGGGGGTTCTCCGGGAGTACGGGGTCGGGGGTCCTCTGCTGAGGGCCATCCGGTCCCTGTATGACCGGAGCCAGAGCTGTGTTCGCATTGCCGGCAGTAAGTCAGACCTGTTCCCGGTGAATGTTGGCCTCCGACAGGGCTGCCCTTTGTCACCGGTTCTGTTCACTGTATTTATGGACAGAATATCTAGGCGCAGCCAGGGGTCGGAGGGGGTCCGGTTCGGGGACCACAGGATTTCATCTCTGCTGTTTGCGGACGATGTTGTCCTGTTGGCTCCAACGAACCAGGACCTGCAGCATGCACTGGGACGGTTTGCAGCCGAGTGTGAAGCGGCTGGGATGAGAATCAGCACCTCCAAATCTGAGGCCATGGTGCTCGACCGGAAAAAGGTGCCCTGCCCTCTTCAGGTGGGTGGAGAGGTCCTTCCTCAAGTGGAGGAGTTCAAGTATCTCGGGGTCTTGTTCACGAGTGAGGGAAGAATGGAGCGTGAGATTGACAGGCGGATCGGTGCAGCGTGCGCAGTGATGCGGTCGCTGTATCGGACTGTTGTGGTAAAGAAGGAGCTGAGCCGAAAGGCAAAGCTCTCGATTTACCGGTCAATCTTCGTTCCCTCCCTCACCTAAGGTCATGAGCTTTGGGTAATGACCGAAAGAACGAGATCGCGGATACAAGCGGTCGAAATGAGCTTCCTCCGCAGAGTGGCTGGGCGCTCCCTTAGAGATAGGGTGAGGAGCTCAGTCACACGGGAGGAGCTCGGAGTAGAGCCGCTGCTTCTCCACGTCGAGAGGAACCAGTTGAGGTGGCTCGGGCATCTGTTCCGGATGCCTCCTGGACGCCTCCCTGGGGAGGTGTTCCGGGCACGTCCCACCGGGAGGAGGCCCCGCGGAAGACCTAGGACACGCTGGAGGGACTATGTCTCTCAGCTGGCCTGGGAACGCCTTGGGGTCCCCCCGGACGAGCTGGAGGAAGTGTGTGTGGATAGGGAAGTCTGGGCGTCTCTGCTTAGACTGCTGCCCCCGCGACCCGGCAACGGATAAAGCGGAAGAAAATGGATGGATGGATGGATGGACATGAAGATGATTAGACCAAACTGTAAAAGTGATTTTAATGCACACTTTGTTTTAGTTTTATTCCAAGCGTTCTGTGGTCGAATCCCAACCTTAATGAT